AATACAGTGATACAAGCTTTCTGTCTTACTATTTGACGTTTCAGTTTATTTTACTTCATACTATTAAAATGAACATGAGTACACGTCAAAAAGTATAAATATAAATCTTATTCAACATTTGAAGATACAAATGAATTAACCTTTATTCTTTGTGAAAAAATAAAGAAATGCTTATTTTTGTCTATGGTTTATTTTTTTACTGATATACCACTTTTATCCCTAAATATAACGAAATGAGAATATGTTTGTTTAATTTATACAACTTGAGCATTTGACAAGTTTGTTATCAATTGTTCATTTTATATATTTGAATATAATTTGATTATGAGGGGTTAAAAAACTGTTTTTATGATACATGGTGTATTTAGCGGCTGAAGGGTAAAACTGTTGCACACTGGTAGTTCGCCTCGAAGTCAAGCCATGGCTAACGGACTTCCCTTTCCTTAAGCAAATAGCCTGGGAGTGTTCTTGATATTTTAAATAATCGTAATCGTATTTATACATGGATATAATTAGAAAAAAGGCGGAACTCTTTACTACGCCTCAGGTCGCCAATTTCTCGCCAAACATTTTGGTGAGAAAACCACGCGGCCATATAACATAAATTTGTGTACATTTAAACTTTAAGCCTAAAATGTCTCCAAAACGCGGTTTTCGCACATGCAAAAACCACGTTTTGAACACCATTAAGCTAAAAATCTGAAACAAAAAAAAAATTTAGATAGCAAAACGTAAAGTTTTCTAACCAAAAATATTGACAAGAGTCCTGTCACAGCAATGTTTTAACTTAAAAAACATCTATGAATTGCACATATAGGCATCAAAAACTACGAACTATGCACCTCGCTTTAATGAATTAACATAGCACAATTAATTTCAAAGAATACCGTGTACCGCATTCTGTTAAAACTTTAAAAAAAATCTACGAATTGCGCAATCTAGGCATTGCGTGCAAGTTAATAAAATAACTAAAATAAATTACAAATTATTCATGTTGCCATATTACTTATCTCAATCTTTTGTCTACATTTCAAACTTTAAGCCTAAAATGTCTCCAAAAACGTGGTTTTCGCAAATGCAAAAACCACATTTTAAGCTAAAATTCTGAAAAAAAAAAAAATTAGATAAGAAAAACGTAAAGTTTCTAACCAAAAATATTTGACAAGCCTCCATGTACACAGTGATATGTTTAACTTTAAAAAAAAATCTAGAATTGCACAATATAGTCATCGAGGAATCTACGAACTACGCCACCTCTTTTAATGAATTAACATAAATAATTTCAAAGAATACATGTCAAGCATTTTGTTTAAAACTTTAAAAAAATTTTTAATTGCACATCTAGGCATGCACACAATCAACAAATAGCTAAAATACTAAAAAATTACAATAATCAAAAAAAAAAACAACCAAATTCATATTAAAACATAGAAAAACATGACATAGCATTCTACAAAGTAAAAAACAATAAATAAAAGCATAACCTAATGGATGTTTTGCGACAGCAGAAGTAGCTTTAACATCACCGCCACGTACCTCTAGGTATTTATATGAAGCCACTCGCTATCCAAAATCTACTCTGGTTCACAATAAATGTTCAAAACCTTCTGTCTAAATCTTTAGATTTCAGCATCGAAAAATTTGTCCAAGATCATATCATCCACCTACTAAATACATGCATTCTCGTTTCTTATTTCTCTGACAGCCACTAAAAATAATCTCCCACACCCTCTTGCAACCACATCTTGCATTGCAACATAGGCCATTAGAAAACACGCACGACACGAACCATCGAGCAATTAAACCAGTCCATTTTTAATTTTCATCTTTATGAATTTATGTGGCAATGAAGTATACAGATTCTAGTTCAGATAGTTTTAACAGTTTCTTGAATGCTGTTAAGGAATTCTGTGTGCCACACACTGGAGACACAGAAATTTCTCAATAAAGTAAGTTGATTTTTACTTTTCGTACTGCGCAGATTAGATAACATGTATTTTCACTTATATGTTATTTCCTTGTTTTATTTTGATTTAAAATGCAGTTTCTTGAGATTATAATTTTTTACGCTTTAATTATGTTTTTGGATCCTATTTTACTTGGGAGGGCATTGCACATAAACAGGAATAGTGCCCAAAAATTGCCAATTTTCACCAAGGGGTATATTTTCCCCCAGTTTTCTTACTAAGATGACTTTATGAAACTTTTTTTTGTCTTTTTATTATTGTTTTTGTGTGTTAATGTTACTGTGAAAGACCGAAATTGGTGAATGTCAACACATACCAAATACGTCGGTGAAAGACGGAATATTCGGTTATATTCTTGCACATTTGGACCATCACTGGTGTATGTCTGTGTACCTTTGCTCTGCAGTGATTGAAGTTATGTAGCATGTATTTGTTATACTCTGGAACACTGGTTGTCAGTCATATGCTAGGTTTTGGTATACGGAAAGTTTCTTACAATATATATATATATTTTATCATACCTAATTTATGTTGAATAGTATTGCAGTGAATCATGAACTTTCTGAAAGTTAAATCATTAATGCATAGACGAGAACAATTGTTTTATTTTTAACACAGCTTCAAAACATCTCTCTTTTAGGTTGATACTCCTTATGAATCAGTTTGGATTCAACCAAGAGAGGAGGTTTTTTGCGCGAACAATCGAAATATTGAACCAAGATACTTTAAGAAATGGCATACTTTTGAAACCAAACGCTTGAAGAACTGTTAATTTTGCGAAATCTGACGTAGCCATACCGAAACGTATTCAAAAAAAATATTGGGCGGACCTGCACCTACCACATCTTCTATCAAGCCTGATGAAACATGAGTTAATTCTAAAAAGATTGGCCGCGAAGTGAATCTTTTACTGCAGCAACGAAAATGTTACGAACCTAAAAATTTTTCCTGCCAAATGTGATTCGTCAGTCCTGAGTTGACCATGGGTACTGATGCTGAAATATGTTGCAGTGTGAGAGCTAGCTTTTATAAATAGCAATAAAATGACGCTTCAGCAGCTTTATCCGTAATCCGTTCTATTTTTAAGAAAAGTTACTTTTCATGATGAGATCTTCTCAAGAATGTCGCTGAGAGAAGCCGCTGCAGCTAATCGGAAGTAGAGGACAAGCTTACACCTGTTCACTGCAAAAGAAAGTGTTCCACAATAATGCAGTGTAAAAGCAGACTTTGGCAATCAAAATGTCTTAAAAGTTTATAATGTATAAAGTTTATAATAAGATTTTATCACATAATTACGTTGTTTTTTATTACTTTTTTCATTAGAAGTATTGTTTAAGTTCAAAAGTTTATTTACATGTGCTGTTACTTAAGCTTTTTCATATTTTGACGTATATGGTATAAATGCGAAAGTAAAAAAAAAAAAAAAATTCTTTATTGATTAAATTTAAAACTAAATGCTTAACATTTATCCAAGCACAACCGCTGTCACTGTTAAGAAGGCAAGTAATATCGAGTTTCTCAGGTGAGAATCCTAAAGCTACATGTCATGCAATAAAAATGTCTCTATAGAGTTACGAACAACCCTCCTCACTGGGATTGGTTACTGCTCTCAGCAAGACAGGCAAAAATGTTATGTCACCTTCTGAAGGTTTATCGTACCTGAAAAACTGAGAACAAAATGCAAATGTCTGACATATTCAACATTCACCATTAGTGCATGATGAATGTCGACATTTGCCGGTGTAAGTTAGAAATAATGATATTTGGCATATACTTTGGACGTACACCAAGCGACTATGTGACTATGTGAATGTGGACTATGTGAATGCTGGCATTAACCAGTGAACGTCGACATTCTCCAAATCTCGGTCTTTCACAGTAACATTTACACAAATTAGGAAAAAGCTCTTGTTGCAATCATGCTACTTTTGAGTTCTATAATTTCTTTAATAATGTAACATTGGAGATAAATAAAAGCTAACCAAATGTGCCATTTTGTATGTAGTTAATTTTAACAGTAATCATGAAAATAAAATCTCAACAATACTTCTATTTTGACAGCTGGTGGATACTGTTCATTTGTTTTAAATTTAGTTAATTTATTGCTGTTTTATGTAATTTTCATTGTTTCATTATTGATGTTCCCCTATGTATTCAACATTTTTTTGGTCATTAAAAGATAAACTCCACCCAGGGAATATGTTTCATTATGGGGGAAGGGGGTGCTATGCACACTAATCACAACAAGCAGCAGCCACAAAGATGATTGTTGAATTTCAAAAGACAATTTTTTTTTAATCCTATGCCATACCTAGGCATGACTGTCATTAGTCTGTAATGGGCAGCCCAATACAATTTAGAAACATTAAAAAAAGGGCAATAATTTCTGACAGCATTAGCCGATGTCACATCATTAAGTCCAGAACAAGTGTCCAAATGGTTCTCTCTCATGTCGTCAGTATCACATAATGGGCAAGATGGAGAGTCTGCTAATACAAATCTGTGTAGGTGTTCAATGAGGTAGTGTTGTCCAGTTTTTAATTTAAAGTTTCCAACACTGACAGGTCTAGGAAGATCACAAGGAATGGAATCCCAAATCTTCCCTTTCACCGAGTTCCCATTCTTCTCTCAAAGATGAGCTCCACATCTGGCTCCAATGATTAGCACTGTTAGCACTGTGATAACAAACAGAAAGATTGGGTTGAGGAAGGACAGATCCAGTTTTGGCCAGAGTGTCAGCAAACTCATTACTCGTGATTCCACAATGACTTAGGATTCACTGCAGAGTAACATTGGGATCGTTATTTACTAGAAAATTTATCACAAGCTGACAATTTAACCCATTGTTTGAAAATGACAAATTCGGCATAGGTGTAATGCATGTTCAACCATACAGAAGTTGCCAGACATTTACCGAAATAAGTATTGCTTACAAAAGAGTAAAGAAGTTTTTCTAAAAATATAATATTGATTTTTTAAAAAAAATTTGTATTAAACAGTATTTGCTTTTCATTATTGACATTTTTCTTACAGGAAATAAGTTCTTAGCAAACTGTATTCAGCCATCGACTAGAAGAGTTTTATTTTTGACTCCTAAAATCAATTATAATCAACTGATCAGTGCTGTTTGCAAGCCTTCTGTGTTAAACCGACACAAACACAATGCCTCCAGTTCTGAGAAGAGTACTTCAGAAATTACTGAAGAGCCTCCTGAGAAACTGTCTTTGTTTAAACGTTACCACAAAATGCTAAAGGAATACTGGTATGTGTTAATACCAGTACATATGGCTACATCTGCTTTTTGGTTTGGTGGTTTTTACTATGCAGCTAAGAGGTAAAATTATTTTCCCCCCTTTCATATTATTTGGTAATTGAAAATATGTTAAACCATGTTTAATCACACCTTTCTCTCCTTTTTCCTATTAATTTTACTTGAAAACTAGGAGGAGAAAATACTATTTCTGAAGAGATGACTTATTATGCATTTCAAATATTTACCATCTTCAATCATATTCCTTTTACTCACAGAAATTATTTTCCTATCTGTGCATATATTTTACAATATATCATAAATCCAAAGTTTCTATATCATATACTGAACAATCTGGGGGGGGGAAGAAGTATGCAAAGGGGAGAAATATATGAATATGGTATGTCACTTGTAGAAAATATCATATGAATAAATTATTTATAAACTTAGTTATTGCATTTAAGAACTTTCTGTTTTTGAAGATTTCCAAACTTTGTTTGAATTAGGAATGGGAATCCTGAATTTTTGTCAGTTTACCACACATAATATATAACTTTGTTCCCAGTGTATCATGTATGATGCATATTAGTTTTTCCATTTTGGTCCCACCTTATCAAAGGGGATATGGGAGCGAGGTACAAGATGAGCTCATAAAGTAATTTGACAATTTCTTATAAATAAGAAAAAGATTATTACTAACTTTCAAATAAATTTATCCTTCAAATTAATCATTGAAACTAACCGTTTGCAAAATATGCATAATATTTGAAGTTTAAGAATATTTATTTCATCTTCATTTGCTTTTGGACCCATATTTAAAACTCTTGTACCACTTCTTGATAACAATTCTTTACCATATGCTACAGTACAAAGTCCAAAATCCAGACGTTCATTATCCGAAATGATCTAAAATCCAGACCTCAAAGCCACACACTTTTTTTTTTAATATGCTTTACGCATGCGCATTTGATTTTTCCTTTCATAATTAAACGTGGTGATTTTCACTGAAAAATTCAGATTCGTAAATTCACTTAGGCACTAAATAAAATACCTCGTTATGGAAAAACAATCATGTAAGCATAAATTTGTGAGATTATATTTGGCTCCGTGCTGATATTGCTTGGCATTACAGCTCAAACTGAAACATTCACCTGTTTTATCGACACCGACTGCGAGTTCATTTTTAGATATTTTGTTTCATCATGCAGTTTATCAATACATGGAGCTTCAGTAATAACTCATGCAGTATGTCTAAATTTTTTATATTAGTAATTGAATAACAAGAGTATGGCAACTTTTATGCTAACGTATGCTTGCGATGATTATAGATTTTTAAATGCTCTAAGAAATGGGACGAGGAAATATTCAACAAAATTTCTTTTCATACGTTAAAAATAGATTTTTATTAATGAAATTCATAGGCCAAAAGATTACATTTAGTGCTATTTTAATTAAGAATAACTGATATGTTATTCACCATAAACCCAGAAGCAGCGGCAGAATATGGCACCGGACGGCAGAATTTAGGGAAGACAAAATTTTTGGAATTTGGGGAAGCACCGAGTGGCAAAATTAAGGGATGAGAAGTTTTTCATGATTTAGGGAAAGCACTGGAATGCAAAGTTTAGGTGCGGTGAAAATTTAGAACTGAAGAAAACTGAAGAAATGAAGGCACTTTGTAGCAGAATTCAGGACCCGTAGAGACTGGAACAGGCGGTGTTTACCGCTGGCCCTAGATAAAGCATTAAGCATATGTGAGAGTTTATTTAATTAGGACTTGGATTAGTTTTAAGCATGTACAAGAAATAAACCTAGGTATAGTAAATAACTAAACTAATACAATTCAAGCTTAATTCAGTATACAATAGGAGCAAGACAAACTGTAGCAAAACAAATTGGCTTTCATCGCCAGTCTTGTGATACACAGCCAATAATGTATAACAGACGCTATTAAGCTAGGCTAAAATTATCTTTACTGATTGTAAAGCATTTTAGTTAATATAGTGGACTGCACTGCTCCCTAATTTTCTAGTTTGATCCAGTTTATTATTTTTTGCAGACTGTTATTATTATGGCAATTTTATAAAAACTAAACTTCAACTTTCGATTATGTCGGAAAGAGTTTCCAATTTTAGAGCTGCCAAAGGATCTACAAAGTGAAACCATGTATCGATGTCCATTAAACAAAAAGTGGAATTACTGCAAAAAATGGATAAAGGCATATATCCGTCTCAAAATTATGCGAGGAGTATGGCATTAGAAAGTTAACTGTATATAACATAAAAAAGAAAAAGGAATTTTTTGTGGAACCAACTTAAACAACTTGCATTGAAAAAAATGTTTAATAAAGTAAACAAATAAATATTAAGCTTTTTTTTTCGTGAATTTTGATACCATTTAGATCACAATTGTTCTTTATTTCATAAATTATGATTTCATATTTTTAATTGTATAATTTCTGCATGCTATCTTACCAGATTTAAATTATTAATTTAAATCAATTATTCATTCATCTAATATCCGGAAAAATCCGAAATCCAGAATCGCCGAAGTCCTGACAGGGCTGGGTTTCGGACTTTGTACTGTATTCAAATCATCTCTAATGTTTTAGTAACATATTTACCTAATTTGTAGTAACAAAATTTAATGATATAACATTGTTCTGTCTTGAAGCAATTTTTTTGGGCAATATATTCAGAGTAAATTGAAATGACTAAAGTGTTTTGATATGGAAACAAAATAACCAATTTAACATGGGTTTAATAAGAGTTGAGATGTCGCTTTCTAAATATAAATTTATTCTTTCACTTTTTTGTTGTATTGTTTGGTCTTTTAATTTAGAGTAATTGGTGTGCCCTTAAAATGATCGTCCAATTACTTTAAATTCACACCATGTATTATTGGTGATTCAATATACTATATTTGATATGCTGAAATACAACATTTATTTCAAATTTTAAATGTGCATAAATTATGTCAGAGTGTTGGGAAACCTTATTTAATAGAATCTCTTGAACTGTGCCTTGTTGTTGTGAATAGTACATGTTGTTTTATCTTACAAATCTAAAACACCTGATGCTTACAGCACACATTCAGAATCTAGAAACTGTTGGTGCAGTGAAAGTGATTTAAAATGTTTTGTATAAATATGGTAGTATGATATAATGGGCACTGTTTTTAATTATCATACGAAAAAAACTCTTTCGCAAAAAAATCAAAGCACCACGAAGGACTTTTGCGATCGTATGGTATGCAAAAACATCTTGATTGAACATGCAAATGATCAATGTTTCAAGGCAAATGAACAGGAATTGCCATCATAGCGTGTATTTCTGGGGTGCAATTTGCAAAATATAAAACCAGTAACAGAGGCGTAAAATTTATCTTTTTTTGTTGCTACCTTTGTAATTCCGTAATGAAGCAACTAAAGATGCCATTACAATGATATCGAAGACCTTACAGACAACTAAACAACTTCGAACGTGGTCGCATTGTAGGTTTGCGTGAAGCTGGGTGGTCATACTGAGCAATAGGCCGCCACCTGCAGCATACAGACACTGCTGTGCAAAGATGTTGGCAGTGATAGTTGCTACAAGGGAATTGCAGATGAAATGAAGGCTCTGGAAGGCCAAGGAGCACAAACGCGAGGCCAAGATAGGATGATTGTTCGCCAGGCCCGAACCACCCCAACCATTGAACACACATTGTCGACTATTCAACACACTGCAGCCACGTCTATACCTCCCGTGGTACCGTCCACCATTTCACGGCACATGTCTGAGGCGGGGTTACGCTCACAGATGCCTTTAAAACGTTTGCCTTTGACCCCACAACATCGGCAGAGTTGTCTGGAGTGGTGTCTCAGCCAATCATCACAGGTGCCATCAGACTGGCTTCGTATAGTGTTCAGCAATGAATCCCACTTCACTCTTAATGCAGATGACCACTGTGTTCGTGTGGCTGCATTCAGAAATGTATGAATGTGTGTTTGTATGTACGTACATATATGTGTATACACACATACATTTGTACTTACACATATACATGCTTATATGAACACATGCTTAATACATACATTTCTGAACCCCCATGATAGCAGAACAGTACCAGTTTTTCTTAAGAATCGTTGGTACTTCTGGATAGCATATCGTTAGTTTCACTGTCAGTTTTAGCATCCATAGCTTCATTAATACTTTCTGTAATACATTTTATTGGCCTCACCAAGAGCATCAGTGACTTGCTTTTTTCAGTGATGGACTTATTTATTTAAATTTCCTGCTATATAATTTAATTAAATCAACTCTGGGGCCTGACTAATGTCGTGTAAATCGTAGTGTAACTAATACTGACATCATACAGTGAAGCTTCTCATATCACCTAAATTTCCAGAACTTTATGTATCACTAGCTGCTGCCAACACACCTCTCTCCCGAATGCTTTTTGAAAAAAAAAAAAAAAAAGCTGTGTCTTTGTGTTACATCAACATCATCATTACTTCCAGTGTACTCCAATAGTGCATTTTCATAACTTTCATTGCTTATATTCTTAATACTTGTTATAGCTTGTATTTCCTCTGAAGATACTCTAAATAGAAGCCATATTTTCTAAAGAAATTTCTAATTGTGTTTTCAATAATTTCCTCAAATGCATTGACTATAATATGTGTGACATCTAGCAAATATATTGTCTTAATTATGCCTTTTGGAGTACTTTCATTTTTACTAGATTCAAACTTGTTTTTCATTTGAGCAACATATTTTCTGAGTAACATTTGAAAACTCTTATATTGCCCTGCTTGAATGGTTGAGTAATCAAAGTTGTTTTTCAGTAAAAAATATTAATTATATGATTTTCAGAATATTAAATGAGAGCCAAACATAGTTATCAAATAGTTAAACTATGCTATCATTTTGCTATTTTATATAAAAAACATTAAAAATACTATTAATCTTTTACAAGTTTTTATTGTTATGGTAAGTTACATGGGTACTATTCCGTTTTGAGGACCATAAAAAATCGCCAAAAGGATATAATATTAAATAACTATCTAAAGATTATTGTTTTAATTTATATGAAAGGTTAATTTTATGTAATACTTTTTATTATTATATTTATATAAAAAGGCTAACCATACTGAATAGAACCTAAGAAAAATAACTATTTCATGTCATTATTGTAATTATATAAAAAAGGCAAAAAGATGATCAGCTCGCTATTTTCGCTACCGATTATCGTAGCATATTCATTTCATTGGTTTTTCAAACGTAATTTCTATCTGAATGATGCCTTTCTTGAAAAATTCTATTGCAGTTTTTCGTCATGGGCAATTCCCAATTATTAATCATAGATATCAAAAAAGGATTTTAAATTAAACTAGTATTTCAGTGGCATCTTAAGAAATATAGAACTATGTAAACTTATGAAATTTGAAATCAGCGCGTACGCTAAATTTTGGCGCTTTTGCACATACATTTTCACTGCAGTTTTTTACTGTCCTCAAAACAGAATAGTACCATACATGTAATTTTTTTATTCCTTTTAAATATAAATATTTTTAATGTTTACAAATAATTTGTGCTGTTTGACTGTTATTTTACTCTTAAAAAATTAATGTGTTTGTAGAAATGCTGTGTAAAACAAGTTTCACCTGTTTTGTAAATTCAAAATGGTTTGCTTTGTGTTAACAATTCACATAAAACTCTTTTCAGCACCTTTTTATCGCAGCATGCAATTTCCCTATGAACAATGTCATTTGTTTCTGTTTTATTCTTTTGCTATAGTTAAAACAAAATTTCTGAATGCTTTAGTGAATTTCACAATTTTCACTCAAGAAATAGAGGAAGTTTTTAATTTAGTTTTAAAGAACTGTAATTTCATAGATCAAAATCATTTTAGATAAATTTCAGCGTGTCTTGATTTTCAATTCTTTTTACTTTTCCTTGGTATATTTGCATTCTTTTTATTACTTTCTTATAAATTTTAGGTTTTTAATCCTCTGAGTAGCACAACTTTTCAGATGTTCTTATCAAAAATTCTATTTAAATGTTATTTGTTTACTAAATTTGTATAATTAATTATTTTAGTCTCTTTTCATAAACTCTCATTCATTAAGATAATATTTAGATCATTAAATTTTTTTTAAAAGTGTTTTTAATAATAAGGTAATCCACACCAAAATACCCCTCCCCCCCAAAAAAAAAAACATATATGTCATCATTGGAGAAAGACAGTCATGATATTGAGGCAGGTAAGTTAACTGCTCAAAGCTGTGTAATTAATTTGGAATAGAAATGCAGCTTCTCTTTTGCTACACTTGCCAATACAGCGTCATAATCTATTAACAATTTATTATCCTCTTTCAGACATAATTCTTTGTGCTTAGATATTGATGCTAATATTTCTTCATCATTTGCATGTACATTTTGTATTATTTGCCTGTGTAATAACTGATGATAAATAAATTTATTACTGATTCTGACAAAACATGTTATATAATAATTTGAATTCTTTTTAAAGTTATTTAATAATTTATTTATGAAATGAATTTTTGTATATAAGTAACTACCTTAAATGTATTAATAATTTTTTTTATAATATTTGTTAAAAGTATCTTTTATTATAACTTTTTTCTTTTTCCAGTGGTTTAGATATTGTGCCATTTCTTGAGTACATCAATATTCCTGATAAATTCATAAATCCTCTACGGAACTCTTCTCTTGGTCACATAGCTGTTGCTTCTGCATTATATAAACTGGCTACTCCAGCTAGGTATATGGTAACATTAGGTGGAACAACATTTGCTGTGAAATTCCTGACAAAACGTGGACTTCTCCGGCCAGTTCCTACTAAGGATGAAATAAAAACTATCATTAGGAACAAATTGAAAAAGGATCCTATTTCTGAAAAGGAAAAGTGATCTTAGATTGAGCTATTTATAACTGACAGTTTAGTTAGACACAATATAATTCATGTTTTCTGCTATATTTAAGATATAACTTCCAGGGATGTATAAAGACAAAATCACATGAAGAAATATTTTGTGCATTCTATGTTAATTTTTGGAGAATGTCTAGAAGCAGTTGTATGGTTGAAGCTAATAAATCAGAAGTGGTTTTATATATGTTTCTTTTATACATATATGTGTGTGATTCTCATGATAAAATGCTGTTTGAAATAACTGAAATGAAATAATAATTTTGAATTTTTATTTAAATTTTTGCTATTAATAATAATACACTGAATGGTTTAATTAAATGATTGCTGAGGGACTATTAAAATTTAACTCCATAACTGGAGAATCATTTAAATTTAATTTTAAATATGAAAATACGTTACAAAATGCTAAATTTTTTATTTCTACTTGCCATTTATCCAGCTGTTTTAAATATATATACTGCAGAACTATTGCTTTAAAAAAATTTAATGTGGGACAATTTTTCATTTGTTTTATATGAGTAATAGTGTTTACAAAGACCTAGTTTGGGCTGTAATGAACATAGGACTATCTGACTTGTTAGCTGTAGTGAGGAAATAATGTGGAAACATTTTATATTAGCAACAAATTTGGTTATAGTTTTTACCTACAAAAAAAAAAAAAAAAAAAAAACTGTGGTGGTGTTCAAGAACAGCATTTTATACCAGTCATCGTTTGACCAGCCATCGTATTTTGTTAAAAGAAGGTTGCAAGGAAGGTATACTGCTGCCTAAAAGAAATGAGAAGGCTCATGTCAGTAATTGGTTTGATATAGTGATAAATTTATAAGTGCATATAACTTGAATATGGCACCAGGAAAAGGAAGGTGATTCATGTATATCATATTCTTCAAGCAGTGCATGGGAGTTGCCTATCCTGTGGTCAACTGTCTGTAAATTTCTTTAATTACCCAAGTACCACTGTAAGAGCCCATCCTATTCAGCAAATGAAGCTTCGTGATCAACAACAATGCTGTGATTCTGCGATTAAGTTTTTGGCATAGATGGAAATTTACAATGTGCAGTCATAGAATATGTTGTGAAATGACAAGGCATATTGTATACTGGAAAGTACAGTGAGACTGACAGTTTCATAATTAGTTTCAGTTATAGAATGTCTCATATAAAATGTATGAAACTCATATATAGAATATGTAAAACTCTCACATATGGAATATGTTTTAGCTGTCACATATAAGCTTCAGTTAATCTGCCTGTTACATATGTAAGCCATATCTTGTGTAATATGGATTCACAAACAATTCATTCATCATTTCATGTTTTTTCATTTTTTGCATTTATATTCAAAATTTAAATCAAAATTTTATATTTTTTCAAAAAATATTTTTCTTTGCACTCTTTAATGCTTTTTCATTTTTTTGCATCATTCTTCATTTGGTTTCCTTTGACAAAATTAACACCCTTAGGCTTAGCATGTGGTGTTGTCTGTACTTTTTAGGTGTTTTCATGTTTTTCCTGCTACAAGCCTGAACAATCCAATACTTAGCCTGCACACATTGGTATCTGGTTGTGAGGATATCTGGAAGATAATGTCTACAAAGGATATGTCCAGTCTTCTGTGTGTTGTCTGAAGGCCAGCATCCAGTATCATGTTAGTTAGATCTTTCCAGAATTCTTGCAACTATTGATTTTAATCAAATGGAAAAGAACACCTTTTGTAAAATTTTAAAATAAGCAAAAACGTTGCCCTGGTATAAATTTCGAAACTCTGTCGATGTCAAAGTTGATCAGACCGAGGTCTCTTTTCTTCAGTAGGGAAAAAAGTGTGAAATGTTTGCAGATGTTTTTTCTTTTCTTTTCTTTTCTTTCTTTCTTTCTTTATTATTATTATTTTTTTAATTTTGATGAAGAGGGTCTGTATCTTATTGCTCTTGTAATCCTGCATCAAACTAACATTCCTTTTTTACCTAATTTTAAATAATGATTGCAATGTTTTACAGATGCAGAATGTTAATGTTATCTCAGGTGGTTATGGTGAATGTATGTTGCAGCAATAACCATTTGGTAAACAATTGTTTATCACATTGTTTTATGGATGCAGACTAATATCAATATTTCTCTGGCAGTTTTGACTGCCATCAGTAAACATCATTTATTAATAAATTTGGTTTTAGCTTCGGTAGATTATGGCAAAGCACACTAGGACAGTATCTATGTATTGGGACGGATGCTTGTTGGAGAACCATTTAAGAGAAATTCATTTGTATTCTCATTACTCAGGGAGAAAATTGCAAAAACATTCATAACAACCATTCATTCAGATTTAAAGCTGCTAATAAAGTTGCTAACATTTTTCTTCTTTCATATGTTTTGCCATTCCTGTGTACATACTTTAAGTACCATGTATCTCTAAATCCAAGATGACCCCACCAATGGCCTAATAGTTAAGACCACTGAACACTGATAGTTTGACTTGGTTTGGGTTCAATCTCAGGTGAATGGGTTGGCTGTAAAGTTGATTTTCATAGTTTTCCCCCATTTGTGATGTGAGTATGGGTCAGTATCCTTTAAAAAGTCTTTCATGAAGGCATACCTCCTCTTAGGCAGATAGCCATTATGGCTTTACCATATTCAAATTACCTAACCTGATCTGGATCAAAGACAGCATATTTTTTTCTTTAAATTTCCCACTGAAAAGTGTGAGGTCATCTTGCATTCGTAACATACAATATGGAGTTTTTGAACTTTTACAATGATTTCCTGAAACATTTAGAATAGTTTACAGTTTTTCAGAAAAAAAGAATGATATTGCAAAATTTTAAAATTGGATTGAAATTTTCAATAAAACTTAAAATTTTATACTCATTGGTCAAAAGTGCAAAGTCTGAGATCCGGACGTCCAATATCCGGAATGATCTAAATTCCCTGGACCTTAAAGCCATCACCAACTTTTTAAAATTTTAAGTTTTTGTGTGTGCTTTATGTATGCGCTATTGATCCCCCCTTGTGCATAATAAAACATGTGGAGAGTCCCAAATCTTAATTTCGATTCGGCACTAAAGAAAATAGCTTGTTATTGAAGAAACAATAAATTTCTTTGTATGATCAATAATTTGGCTCCGTAGCTGCATATCATCTTGGCATACATCTCAACCGAAAACATTCTACATAGAAAAATCCTTGATTTTACACCTACTAATATTTTATATCCTTGATGCCAACCTGGAGAATCATTATTTATTATATTTTGCTTTCATCATCGTATGTTTATCAACACATGACAACTTGAGTAATGGTTCACATAGCAATGCCTAAACAATTTTTTATATAAGTAATGTAAAAAATTGTTATTGAAGAAACAATCATTTTAGCATAAATTTGTATAATCAATAATTTGGCTCCGTACCTGCGTAACATCTTGGCATGCATCTCAACCCAAAACATTCTACATAGAAACATCCTTGATTTTACACCTACTAATATTTTATATCCCTGACACCAACCTGGAGAATCATTATTTATTATATTTTGCTTTTATCACCGCATGTTTATTAACACATGACAACTTGAGTAATGGATCACGTAACAATGCCTAAACAATTTTTATATTAGTAATTGAATAACAATAAATATGGTAACCTTTTATGTTGACATTACCCTTGGCAGTGTTTACAGATTTAAGTTAAACGCGCTAAAATGTTGACAGAAAAAATTTAACAATAACTATAAAATAACATTAAAAGACAATACAGACAGAGGAAAAAAAATCTAAAAGGTTTAAGATTTTAAATTCTGACAAAGGGGCATAGTTTTAATGGTTTGTGTGTTACTTTTATTTATTAATGCACTTAAACCATAAAATTCAGTTCAATAGCAATGTCACAGAATAATTTTAAAATGAGCCTATCTTTACAGTTCCGCGTGCTGGAGATAAAAAAGGTTTATTTCTCCCGTAGAGTGTTGCCATTACTTGTTTTTGAATCCTTGAGTTTGTTACTTAAAAATTCGTTAAAGTTTTACAAAATATGAAATCGATAATAAAACAGATTCCAAAATTCAAATTTGGTCTTCCACATGTCCATATTTGTAGGAGGATTACATCATTCGAAATTTGTTGGCTCTATGTACCATTATTTATCCATGCAAGAATATCATACATTTATGCGATTTTCATTATTTATTTTCTTCAAATATATGCAGGACTCTAACATTTGGTGGCAAACAGTTTGAAAGTGAAACGGACATGTATAGTGATCACGCAAAATCGCAAAATGAAAACAATAGTCTTCAGAACAAGCCCCTTTGTACCAAAAATAGTTCCATTGCTAAAATTGATTTTTTAAATGATACAATAGCAAAAATATGGGATTTATTTTTCAGGACTGGATCTCCTAAGCATATGCAAGGAAGGCATAGTATATAATAACTAACTAGACAATTTTCAGGCTTAATTGTCTCGGCGTGATAGAAGCAAGAAAATTTAGTGGAACAATGTCTTTAGTCGCCAATCTCATGATACATAGCCAAATATGTATAGTGAACAATAGCTAAATTTTATGATGATAGCCGCGAATCTGAAGATTTTTGGATATCGCAAACCAAAGGTGAAATTCTCTAATTAACGGATTTTGTAAAGAAATGTGCAGAAGCGGTAATAAATGAAGATGTTATAAAAGGAGTTTTTCACTGTGATGGTAATGCTCCTTAGTCATCAACCAACGAATGGTGAAATCTGTAGTATGGTTCTAGATCCAGAAAATACCGCTAACGATAGCGAAGAAAGTGACAGAGAGATTACTGAAAATAGAAAAATTTCGATTGACAAGTTAATCAGAATACTCGACACAGCAATTACAGGACTTCAACAATGTAACTAAACAAGAAATTATATCTGTCTACAGAATTAAAGAGAAAGTATTAACACAAAAAATGAAGCAACTTAAAAGAAATGTTTAATAAAGTAAAAAAAAAAATATTAAGCATTTTTTCTAAATTTTTGATACTCTTTAGATCATAAATGCTTCATTATTTCATAAATTACGATGTCATATTTTTAATTTTATTATTTCTACATACCATCTTACTAGATTTAAACTGATGATCTAATATCCGGAAAAATCCGGAAATTTTGTAATTTTTCAGAAAATTATATTTTTTTTTGCTATGCTTACTCTGTAATGATT